CCCCAGCTGCCTAATTTTGCCATCAGGTGAAGCAGAATTCTTCACTGAGAAGTATCTATCTGATCACTTTGTAGAATCATGCTTAATTCAACCATCCTGAAACCTTTTAGAGTTTTTTACTGCTGACAATGTTCAACTCTTTTTTTAAGGACAATATGTTATTAAGAAATGAATAGGTTAGGCAAAAATGAAGTACCTCTAAAAAAATAATCTTTTCAGAGAGGTAGAAGACAATGGCTAGTCAGCAAAAACTAGCCCCTGTTGAAGCAACCAGTGTGCAAGCTCTGCTGTGGTCATGGGGGGCCCATGTGTGGGGGCTGCAGGGCTGGGACTCAGTGAGTTTGTGTTTCTTTCCTAGTTACCTTTGCCCTGGTCAAGTCTATTGATTTCCCTTTGTCTTTTTTCCTGTCTGGAGAGTGGAGGTGATAATACTGCTTAAATCCATTTAAATCCAAATTCTGTCTTGCTTGATTAAGCAGTAAGCTTTTAGGCCAGGGATTTATTACTATGTATGGGTACAATGCCTGGCATAATGGTGACCTGATACAAGCCAAGGCATATAAGTGCTAAAGCACTTACACGTGTATGTACATTAAGCAGAAGTAATAAAAAAAACAAACTAACCAACCAAAGAAAAAACTACTTGAGAACAAAGAATAGGCAAGTTCTTGGCTCTTCTGTCCTTTTCTCTCTCTTTACTTCCTTTCTTGTACTCTGCTCTCGCTTTCTTTTCCTTAACCTTTCTCAGATGGCAAGAAGAATCTCTTTAAAACAAAAGCCTGACTCTGATGGTGTTCTTTACAAGAAAAAGTTAACTGTGAGGGAATCGCTGCTTGAGCTGCATGTGCCTGCCTCCTCCAAACACATGCTTGGGTGCTTAGGTGTGCTCCTTAATGGTTGCTCTGTGCTGCAGCTGGACCCACCAGCTTGGCTGCTTGTGCCACCCTCATGTCCCTGATCTGTGGAAAGTGTGACACATTCTGACGTGCCTTGGAGGCAGAGCTCAGTGGACACCAAGGTGTTACAGGCAGCCCTGCAAGACATGCCTGCTGGCAACGTCAAACCAGTGTACCAGCTGTGCAAGAACAAACCAGAAGCACACATCTGTCCTTCTCTCCAGGGAGCCAGTACCCCAGGACTCTGGCTCTAGAAAGTGATTCTCTGTACATTCATGACCTTTTAGTGATTTGGTGTCAGGGAATGTGAACAAAAATAAAAAACAAAATAAAAGGGACTTTATTCTTTCAATGAAAATCTTTAAGCCAGAGATGGAGGGGGAAAAAGTTTCCATTCTCATTTCAGTGTAATCAAAGCCTTTATGTAATCTGAGTGTTGGTGGGGATCAGTCTTCCTGAATCGTGTTTACAAGTGGCAGTTTCAGAAGTGATGGGTAGGTGGGAACTAACAATAATAGCCCACATATCTCGTGGATACACTGCATGGATGGGGCTAAGCTGGTACCAAGACTAGCCATTAATGGTAGCCTCACCAATTTTGTCTTTCATAAGGGACATTAGACTTCCTAGCATTTCTGATTTAGAGGCACCAGCCATGTGATTAGAATAGAAGTGGCAATTGAATTCCTCAGGATTTGGCTAGGACCCCCATCATGCATTCAGTATAACTCTGTGTATTTTTAATTTCTTAAATTGGAATGTCACAGTATCGTTAAAGTCACCCACTGGAGAAAAGAATAATTATGTGGGGCCTACATGAGTTGCTGTGTCTGACTGGAATTCCAGCCCTAGTCCTGACCATGCACTTCTTGCTGAAATTAGTTTTGCACCATGGGACCCTCAAATGGTTTTGTCACTATGTGTTTAGGCTTTTGATGTTGTTTGTCCAAACATCCTAATGCAGTTTGTAAATCCCAGCCCATCTATTCTTTACAGTGAAAGTCAATTCATTGCCCCACTCTGTCTGAAGCACTTGGACCCTAATGCAAACCTTCATGACATCAGTGAGCAATGGATTAGATTTTCAGTAAGCAAAGTTAATCAAGGTATTTGGAGATCACATACACAGAACTTGTTTGTGTTGTTGTGACTAGAGAATACAGTTGGAAGCGTGTCTTTGTACTTTTTGTGGGGAGCAAACTGTTGCCAGTTGAAGCATCGATGTTGCAAGATGTACCATACCCAAAGATTGCTGAAATCACTGCAGTGATTCCCGCATTTTAAATGGATTTTGCCATCCGACTTCTGCTTATTACAAAAGTGGTGCTTAATCTTGTAGTGTACTGCAGACCAATTGTGCACCATCACTGGGAAGAAGCAATAGGGGCATTTTCACTTAGGCTGAGACTTAGACCATTTATTTTTTTTATTTGATGTCTTAGTGTAGGCAGTCCCTAGAAGTGCATTTCAGATAGTGCTACTCCTTCCTTTTATGTGACACATGGGAGTTTGATTTTCACAAATTCACTGATGAGATGTTTGTTTTTCTCAAAGCAGAAGAGGGGAAAAAGATATCAATCACTGTCTTGACATGGTAGATTTTTCTGCTCTCTCTCTATACGCATGGAGAATGCTCTGCTTCGAACATTAGAATACCCTGTGGATGTGATACCCCTTCCCCCCTGCCCTCCTACAGTGAATCCTCTTATATCAGTTTTATGGTGCTATCTCCATTCAGTCTCTATTAGATGTTCCTCAACTATAATGTCTATCTCTGAGAATTAGCTAGCAGATGGAGTAAGCAGCCTTTTGTTTATTTGTTTTTCTTATCTGTAGTGCATAAATGATTTACTGCAGGGTAGGTGTCCTTGGAATATTTTCTTCAACTGGCATCTCTTCTGGCGATAATGTAAGATAATTTAAATGACAGTTTCATACTTCCCTTCTGGAAACTGAGTTTAGCTGTTGCTCCTACCAGGGCCAAAGAATTATTCTTTGTATACCTACTGATGAAACTTAACAGAACTTTAGAGGTAGGCAGAAACAATGAGAGGAAGTAAAGTTTTCTTCATACTCTTCCTCGTGTCCTTTTGACGTGCTATTGCTGTAATGTCTCATACAAATCTTCAGAGATGCACCTTGCAGCAAAACAAAGAACTCATGTAGGTATTCAGGTACAGATCAGCTATGCTTAAACACCTCAGATCTACCTGTCTAACTGTCTGTTTGAAAAGCATCTGTGTTACAGCTTGCACTTTCTTTAGCTCCACCTTGTTCTCCTCTTCAGCTTTTGTTCAAGCAGCTATGGGTTAATATGAGGAAATTTCTTAGAAATATACTTATGTATACTGAACCAGAATGAAAATTTGAGTATTCAAATCTTTTCCCGTGTTGTATGTTCCTTGATTATGATGCTTTGTCAAGCCAGAGCTGGCTAACATGTCTTTCTTGCTTCTTTTTATAGTTATGCAAAGAAAAAGAACATGAACTGTTTCATTTTTGATTTTGGTACTCTTGGTCTTACACCAAATATTCATCCTTAGATTTTAAAAGATAAATAGCTGAGATTTTTGTCACTTTGCTGCACCATTAGCATGCTATCACTTTTCTTGTTCCCTCATCTTGATTTCTCTGTGTGTATCTCATGTCAGCTCCTGGAGAAATATCATCAGCCAATATGGTTTATGAAACTTTGTTATTTACTGAGATCTTTAACATAGAAATTACTTAAAATATTTTCTCCTGCTCTGAATTCATGAAGCTATTCAGGGAGCATTAACTAGAACTTCCTGCCTGGCATGATTTGGAAACAGGCATTTTGGTCTTTCAAAGCTGCTTGTTTACAGAACTTTCAGTCATCTCATTATGTGTTATTGCATGCTCTTGCCAGCTTTTTTTAATATCAGTATCTTTCTCCTCAACACTGACATAAATTGGTATATATGGGAAAAGAAGTTGAAAATTCTAAAAAGACCAAATATTGTATCAGGGAAAATCAGACTTCCTGTTACATTAAAGCCAGACTTAAACGCATTCAAGCACAGAAATACACAGTAGGTCATCTAAAGTACCGTAGTGACATGATTTGGTGTAATAGGAAGGAAATTTGATGCAGCTTATAAAAGTAATTTCATTTGAAACCATGAGCAGTATAAAAAGCATTTATCATACTGATAATATCTATTGCAATTGCATTATGTTGGTTTCGTTTTGGTTTTGGTTTTGGTTTTGGTTTTTTCTTTGAGGTAAGGGGAAAGAATTTATGCATTTAGAAGACCTGTTCTAGTAGAGCTATTTCTGCTCCCGGATAGGAAATAAGCAGGTGGGAAATATGCACAGAAGAGCGAGACAGCACAAGTAAGCCCTAGCGCATTTACTGGTAATCCTTAAAATTAATCAATACCCTGTAATACCATAAATATCAGCAACGAAGCAGAAATTTCTTCAATACAGCTTATTTAGATTAGGTTTTCTTTTCTTAACTAAAGGTAGTATTTGAATTTCTTCAGTGTTTGAACAATAAGCGCTTGGATTTCCTGGATTTTTAAAATCAGCTAAAAAAGCTAGACTGAATAATATGGCCAAACAATGCTGCTTTCTGACCAAAATTATGAACACTAAGAGAATAAATCAATAAACACACTGGTCAATTTTATGAAGTTTTTTTTTCCTGTCCGACAAGCCCAGGCTGATGCTAGCCTGCCTCATTTGGATAGCTTATGCATAAAGACACAAGGTTGCAGGGCAAAATTCACATGAATAAACAGATATCAATTAGCTGCTTTAATAGCTAATGTAAATATGAGAAGTAACAGATACTGAAAGGAAATAAATATAATTTAACACTATATAACAGGAATAGCACTGAGCTTGGAAAACATAGATGTGGAAATGAGCTCTATTATCTCAGATTGCGAATATGTTTTACATTACGGAACATTTTAGTTTGTCCAAATTTACATGGTGCTAAATGAAACCTTTTTGTGATAGTACCCAGATCATATTTAATTTAAATATTTTAAGTGCCTGTGCCTTGAATTTCCTGATTGGGAATGTATAGTTTAATGCTCACACTTATATTCAGGTAGCTAAAAATGATCTGACCTTCAAAACATCTTGCATTGAAATGGAGGACAGCAAATGTGTATCTTGTAATATTGCAGCTGGTATCCAGGGAACTGCAAATGGAAAAAACAGAGGTCTTCACTGGTCACATCCGTAGAAACTGCCCTGAAGAACAGGATTTCTGTATAGAAACATAACCAACACCACAATATAGAAATACAACATACCGAGGAAGAGTCAGGAGCTCAAACCTGTTGAGTCAAAACTGTTAGTCACTGAACTTGTGCCTGATGTTGGGTACATCTATGTGCTGTTCAGAAAAGGGTCAGGGTCTGCAAGCCTGAGCACTGGAACGCCCATACAGTCACTCAATTTAATTGTCAGCTCTCTCCAAGGTCTGTGCTCGGCCATTTCAGCCTGCTTGCTTCAGTGCAAATGCGTTGTAAAGGAAGGTAGCCCTTGGCAAAGGGGATGAAAATGTAATCCACCTGGGTCTTCCTAAAGGCTTTTAACAAAGCCCTTCCTAAAGGCTTTGTAGTATCTAAGTGGTTGAAAAATCAGAAATGGAGAATATGAATAAATGTTTAGTTCTCTCAGTGGAGAGAGGTCACCAGTGGAGTCTAAATGGGTTTGCAGTAGGGCTCTTACTGTTCAAAATGTTCATAAATAGTCCAGAAAAAGGCTGGAGAGCAAGGTGACGTGTCATTGACAAGACTAGGTTACTCAAGTTCACAAAACAAATCCTGATTGTAAAGAGTTACAGAAGAATCTCATGGTACTGGATGATAAAATGGCAGAAGAAATACAGCTGTGGTGAATTTAAAGTGAAAGTAATGAAGAAAGGCAATCCTCAATTTATATACAGTCTACGAAGGTTGTGAATGGCTGTTACCACCCTGGAAAAGGACCTTAGAGGGATAGTAAATAGATCTATGAAAACATCAGCTCAGAGCTCATTAACAGTTTACAAACAGACGGAGAGTTAATACGTTTTTGAAGTAGCACTGAAGATACGGGTTAAACAGGATTTGTACGTAGATGTTAGACCAGCAGCTGGAAAACACAGTGTTATGGATTGGTAGAAGTAGTGCTAAAGATTGGGTTTAACTGGATTTGTACATAGATGTTAAATCAGCTAGGGTAGTTGGAAAAAGTGGACAAGGTTTTTGGCACACAAACCTTGAGGAGGTTACAGATTGAAGGAGGATGCTTCAGAGCTTAATACAGAGGTTGGTACTGGATCCACCAGGAAATAAATAGACAACAAACCAGTGAACAGTAGCATCCCCCTTTTCACCACCGTCAAAACCAGGATATTAGGCTAAATGGACTTTCTCTGACCCAGCATAGCAATTCTTATATTTCTGTCACATCCCTGTGTAAATTTATGTACCTACAGTGTCCTACCTTTTCCAAAAATTGTATAAAAGAAAAGGTGCAGGAAAGGTGATAAGGAAACTCAAGCATATGAAAATGTGTCAATGAGAGAAGAAGCTACATTGACTATGACTCTTTAACCTGGAAAAAAGGATGATTTAAGAGGACATGACTGATATTTGTGAAGTCATGGATGGCATGGAGAAGGACAAATTATTTGTTGTCTCTTATAATACAGAATATATGGGTCATCAGATGGAATTAACACAGGTTATGATCAGAATAAGTAAAAGATATTTTTTGTGCATCACGGAGGATGTGGTAGATGCCAAATGCTTATTATAGGTTAAAAAATATTACAAAAAATAATGGAGGGGAAATCCTTCAAGAACTTTAAAAGGCAAGAATGAGTCTTTAAGCTATTTATTGGCTTTTTGCATTTTTCAGACCCTGGTCTGGTCCCCAGATCATACCCACCATATCTGTGCAGTTCACATTCAGGCTTCTTACAGGAACAAGACAACCAAGTCCCTCCAAGTTCTTGGAAATCTCGATGCAATGTCATTGTTGTGCTTCTACATCCACTGCTGTGGAGAACTGTGCTATGTCCCTCTCATCAATTGGTTTATTTGGGGTTGCCATGCAGATGAGATGGTTAAGTGTTACGAAGTGTGAACAAAGCTACTTCTGTCCTAAGCAACATGGACAGAAGTCAGTCTGCTGTTGTTGGTCCAAAGGCCAGAAACTACTTCCTAGTGTGGTCCACAAGGCTGATGACAGTATAGACAAGATCTGCAAGGTCTGGTTTTCAAGATGTCTGACCTGAAAAGAGCTGGATGGTGGGAGGGCAGGCCAGGGAAACATGCTCACTCTGTTCTCCTGCCTGTTGCTGTTGCCTGTAGCTGTAACATGGTGTCAGGGTCAGGAGAATATTCTTGCCCTCTTGCAGGAGAGTGGTATCGGGATTTAAGCCCAGCTGGTAACTCAGCACCACACAGCCGTTTGCTCGCCTCCTCTCCCCGGGCAAGATGGGGGGGAGAATATAAAGAATGTAAATCCCATGGGTTGAGATAAGAACAGTCCAATAACTAAAGTATAATGAAAAACTACTGCTGCTGCCACCAATTATAATAATAAAGATAAGGGAAATAACAAGGGGAGAGAATGTAAAACTAAAAAGGGAAAGGAAAAATAACAATAAACACAAGTGATGCACGGTACAATTGCACACCACCTGCTGATCGATACCCAGCCCAACCTGAGCAGTGATGTGGGCCTTCTGGGTAGTTCCCCCCAGTTTCTGTACTGGGCATGATGTGCTGTGGTATGGAATACCCCTTTGACTAGTTTAGAACAGGTGTCCTGTCTCTGCTTCCTCCCAGCTTCTTGTGCCCTCCTCACTGGCAGAGAATGAGAGACTGAAAAGTCCTTGATCAGGGCAAGCATTACTTAGCAACAACTGAAAACATTGGTGTTATCAGGATTGTTCTCAGACTAAAGTCGAAAACATGGCAGTGTGCCAGCTACTAGGAAGAAAATTAACTCTATCCCAGCTGAAACCAGGCAAGTGGTCAGGGCTTCTGCCGGAAATAACAATATATATTTCAAAGTCATCGTTGTTTTCTATATATCCTCTTTTTTGAATGAGAATGTCTGTAAGTACGGTATAATCTTTCCTTGTTGGTCTCACTCACCAGAGACTACTGTCACAAAGGAGCCTGTGTAATTCTCAGTGTAGTTGAATTTGGAAGTGACCTTTGGAGGTTAGTCGTTCCCACCCCGTTGCCTGTTTAAGAAAGTTATGAAGTTCATTTTTTGGAAGATGTATGAACAACAGACATTTGAAAAAGTATTTTTATCTTTGCTGTGCTTTTCTACCACTCCCAATCTGATAAACTAATCTTAAAGATCTGAAAAAAAGAACATCTTACTGAGAACATCTGACCTCATCTTGCATTTATAATTTCAGTGTACAAATAATGTAGTTTCATGTTGTTTAATGTTGCCCCTGTGTCACAATGGGGTGGTTTATCCCTTGAATGAGCACTTTTCTAGATTTGGTATCACATTCCCAAAATGCAAAGCATTTGCTTAAAAAAACTAAATTTTATTACAATTTTACAAGGACAGGCTGTTTTATTTGTTCTGTATAAATTACATTGGCTATTAGAATGAAATCACAGTCATTTTTATAATTTTGCTATTAAAAAAAAAATCATATCTCCTGAAATGTCATTACTTGACAAATAATTTGATTCAAAATTCCTGAACACTGATTCCGCTAATACTTACTCCTGTTTGTAAGTCTTGAATAAAGTAAGTGAGTTGAGAGGAATCACAGCTACAGAAAACAATCTAAGAGGTACCAGAAATACCTGAATGATCCAATGGATAAAATTACAGCAGGAAAATGCTTAGTTATATCTTACATTTCCAAAAATAAAACAAGATTATGTGTAAGAACAGTTTTTTTTACACTCTTGAAATGCAAACCCAAAACTTTTCTTTCTCATTTACACATTTAAGTGTATTCTGATTAGTAGCTATGAGCCATTAGTTCTGTACTTAGAATATGAAAACTGAGTGTTCGCTCTCAGAAGGTAGTGGTACATCTTGCACTGGTGTAAGCTTCTTGATTTATCACTGCACTAGGACTGAAGGTCAGTTAGTGTTTTGCGTATGGAATTCATCTGACAAAAGCAGGATCTGAGTTGCAAAGATATATTTAAAAACAGAAAGGCAAGGATAGGGAGGGGTTTAAAAACCCCAAATGACAGGTTTGATCCTGTAAAATACTGGGCATTGTTGCTCTGCTTCAAGCAAGACTTACATGTGCTTAAACCTTTTGTTCAGGGCTCAGCATTTAGCACTGTTTAATCTCAAATGAATAGTTCTTAAAAAGGAGATTGATATTTCCTTTCATCCACAGATTTCAAAGGTATCTGTGAACAGCTATGTACAGAAACTATATAATAAAAATGAGAATTCAGTGGAGATTTCACAGTTAAGCATAATAAAGAAAGAGACATGCAATCAGAACAGAAACCTTCACTTTCTCATGTCAACTTTTCATGTTGGACCAATGCATAGTTTTATTTTCCCCTCTTTTTTCCTCTTTATTTTTAACGCGAAATCCTCAGACTTCTCATTCGTGAATTCATGCAGAAGCATAGGACAGGATGTGTCTTCTGAGCTCCTACATGTTGTCTTTAAACTGTGGGTGTCCCGTTGAGAGGAAAAGTGGCTCTTTTGTATTCACTTCTCATTTCCCTCCCAAGCAAGAGGGTAAATGAAGGGCAAAATTCAGACTCCAACCTTGATAAAGGTAGAATCTACCTTTGAAAAAGATAGAGCAAGCTAATGAGAGCAGTGGGAGCTGCTTGGTTTTGCTAAACAGCTAGAGCTGGTCGCACTACTTGAGCCTTAGAAGCATGCTTCTTTGCTCCTAGTGTATTACATATACATATTGTTCCTTAATTAGAGTAGATGGCTTAAATACATGTGATCACCTTTCATTTTAGCTTGTTCCTTGTTCTGGCAGGCTTCACCTATGTTCACTGAAACAGCTGCCTTTCCCTGGGTATACCCAGGGCTATACATAATATGTATGCATATGTAATAGGGTGCTACTTGTTCAGGGTGCTGGCAGGGGAATCCATTCCCTATCCAACAACTAAAGGAACATAGTACTTGCTCTTGGTTGAAAGACTGAATTTCCAGAAACACTAGATTTGATGTTTATTATTAAATGGAAGTTTTGCACATTAAGAAATAAATGTTTGCCTTTCTAAGGCCAATATTTACTGATTTCTAGAGTCATAGTTTGTGAAACAACAAAAAAAAGAAACAGAACTTCACTTTCATTAACCATAAATGTTGTTTAGCTATTTTCACAGCATTCATCTTGCTGTTAACTGTTCTTTTCACATTGTGAGGAGGCAGCATATGACAGGAAAAATCTGTACCATCATTCAACAGCTGATTATATGCCCCTTTTCCTCAAAAAACAATTTGCATGCCTACAAATATCAGTGTTCCCAGTGGAATTCAAGGTGTAAAATATTGAGTCTTGAGCTGAAAATTATTTAGCCAAAGATTTTTCCAGTATTTGGGGGTTCTGGCAGGATGTTTTCAAAAGCAAAACCATATGTCGCTTACATGATTTGGCATTTCTCCAGTTGCATAGAACATGAGTGGAAAAGTGGAGAAGAAAAAAGAAAAACCTAACACTAATTAGATGATAGCAAATACAGGTGCTTTACTGTGTGCAGCATCTGTGGGACAAGTCAGAGCCAGCAGATTCTGAGGGATACTGTTTTGTTCATGTATATTCCCAACACATGCTAAGATCCAAATTAAGGTAAAACTGAATGGGTTGTGCAACAACTGAGCTGCTTTTCGAGGTTACAGAAGTGCAATGTGCCTAGGCATAGAAAAGAACTTGTGTGATTGGGTTTTGTCTGTGGGCTTCTCACTGTAAATGCAATTAGTGTAATACCAGGGAAAAAAAAACAGTAATTTGATGATAGTTTGGAGATCCTGACCTGGGCTTCCTCATGTCCCCGTTCCCCCAGAGTTCCCAACAATTTCCTTATCCATTGCAGGCAGCAAGGTGCCTCTCTGAGAAGGCATCTTCCCTCTCCAACCAAAGCTTTATCTTCAGCCTTATAAGGCTCTCAGGTTTACTGAGACTAAGTTAGTCTCAGTACTAACTGCCAGCTGTCCTGTAACTTGCTTCATAGGGAAAGCTGTTACAGAGCTGCACACTGTTTTGCCCACCCCCCTGACTTCCCGTACACATAGGAGTTCTGGCTACATACAGCCTCTGGGCTCTTTCTCTTTCATGTGTCAGAGAGCATTATGGAGGTTCTTTTCTATTAAAATTTCCAGAGAGAGAAGTGGGTTTAGACAGTGTAGATTTGACTCATCTGCATCTTTTAGTATTCAGATAGGTGAAGCCATTACAGGTACTGAGGAGACTGGTGTATCTTACCTGCTGATGGAGTGTCCTGTGTGCAGCCACACACAGTACATGCTCAAGAGCAAAGGCACAAAGGAAGAAGGAGTCTGTTCTGTGCAAACAGACAGTTAAAACATGATTAGAGAATAGCCTTACATTCTCAGTTGCTGCTCCTTTAATCTGAAAGCTCACTGGGACATGCTTGTGTTTGAAATAACAGGAGAAGACACAGTCAGGCTCCAGCCTCCAGGAATTTACCACGATAATATGTTGTGTGGTTTTATAAGAGATATTAAAACACAAAGAAAAACTCTTTGCCTGAAAATTTGCCTGAACAATTAAAAATGTGTAAATAATTGAAATGCAGGAACTAGAAAAGCTTTCTATTATTGTCATCGAGAAATAAAAGTGTTTAAAGGATAGGATCCAGTCACTATTTTGGGGCACTAAATAGCTGGTATTTACAGTGTGGATCACTCAATTTTATTTTGCCTGATGAACAGAGCTCCCAAAGCTTATTGTGGCTGTTTTGTCGTTTATGTAAGACACGTGGCTGCTGTGATTTGCTTTTCTCGGTATCCCCTCCCCCACTAGCAGAAACCTTTGAGCTTCAAACACAGACGTACTGTGCTCTTTGTGTGCATGTATGTGTATGAGTGTAAAAACATTAAAGAAAGACCACATGCCTAATATGCTGGAAAAACAAAGCTGAAGCGCGGGACTTGGCTTGTAGCTTTCTTTCTTTATTACAGTGAGATGGTAGCATGGACTAAGTGTAGGACTAATGTGTATGAACAAGAAGTGCTTTAAAAGCAGCCACACTGCTTATAAAATCAGCAATTTAACATAAGCAGGAATGGCATTTTCATTAAATAATGCTATGATTTTTCAACCATATTCTTAACTAGTAATCTCCCCCTAGCAAAATACAGAGCTAATCAACCTCCTAGCCTGTCAGTAAACTTGCAGGGGAATTAAATCCTGGAGGAAGAAGCCCATAGCCCTGGAGGAAGGCTGAGTGCATGTTTCACTGTCGTCTTTTCAGCTCATCTCAGTGGTCCCACTGCTAGAATGTGCTCTGTTGTCATGGCAACCCCATCTCCTGCTTCCTACAGGAAAGATTAGCTCGTACTGTGCACTGGAGAGAATTTAGGGGAAGTCAAGCTAATCCCTGGGTGCACTGCAAGAGAAAGGTTGGACCTCGCCTGAGGGATGCTGTATCTGCAATGATAGAATTGGCCTGCCACAGACACTGGTATTTAAGTTGAAGAGCAGAATTCACAGTAAGTGTCAGATCCTCCAGAGAGGAATATCGAATGAGGTTTTCTAAGTCTTGGTGAAGACTGTCCCATGCCAACAGTGGAATGACAGCAGGAGGCTGTGTGTGGAATACCAATATGTTTCACCCATTCAGGTGGTATTTCAAATATAGATTCAAAGCCTCAGTTCCCTGGAAACTAGGTGATAAAATTTTAAACGTCATCGTGAGATGTGCACCTAGAAACCTGAAGCATGTCTCATTTGG